GCATTCAAATATATGAGCCTATGAAGGCATTCTTATTCAGACTGCCACATGGGGGAAGAGAAAGAGGGAAGGAAACACAGAAACTGTGACACTTTAACCAACAAAGAGAGAAATCATATTTGGCTTTGTGATGTGGACAGACATCTGAACAATCAAATCTGGGCCTTCTGAATTTACTGCCTGTTGCCATGGGTAGAATCATGGTCCTAGTGAGACCACAGTTGGGAGCTGGAGGTCCTTGTAACAATTCAGTTCACTCCACTCCACCAGCACTGATGATATCTTGAAGACAGCCACTCAAAAACACTTAGTGAGGGATTTGCTCCCAATTAGTCACATCTGAAGAGACTCCCCTCTCCATTTTCCTTCTCCATCCCTCTATCCTGCTGAGCAAACAATGGAGAACTAACAGGCAGCCAGAATCAAAAGAAGGGTCTCTCTATCCAGAAAGAAGAATTCTCAGGAACATTTACTCACAGCTCTACCAACTGGAGTTTCTACCTCATCAGCTTATTATCTAGAATATTGAGATTTCTCTTTCTTGTAAAATACTAAGGGGAAATGAAGTGAAATCTTACAAAAATATTTCATCTAAAAATGATTTTTAAAAAATTTAACATCAGAGATTAAGTATCTTCATTTTTCATCATATAAAGTCCATTAATCCTCATCACACTGATGTTAGTTTTCTTAGTTTCCCATAGATCCATTAAGAGTTTGTTATGGATCTAGTTCATATATGGAGAAGTATTTGAGAATAGTAGTAGTATTTGTTCCACAAAGAGGAGAAATATATAATGTTCCGAGATTGCAAAGGAAGAACCTAAGAAATACTACAAAAATAATGATATAGCCTAGGGTTTTAGCATCATGGCAGAACACTTATGTAGCATGTGCAAAACTCTAGAAGAGAGAGAGAGAGAAAGAGAGAGAGAGAGATTGAGAGAGAGAAAGACACAGAGAGAGATTGAGAGATTGAGAGAGAGAGAGAGAGAGAAGAGATTCTGAGGATACACTATCATTAATGAAGCAGATGTGCTCAAATAAAAAAGTTGAGCACTAGGCAGTCTCATGAGGCAGTGACACTGATGAATGACATGCTGAGCAGTTTGTGAAAACCTAGAAGGAAGCAGTTTTAGGTTATTGTTATTTTGATCATAATTACATAAAAGAAAATTGAAAATGTTATAAATTTTAAGGAATTTCTAATTCTAAAAAGACCAGGATAGGTAGGTGGGTGGGTAGATAGATGATAGATAGATGATAGATAGATAGATAGATAGATAGATAGATAGATAGATAGATAGATAGATAGTAGATAGATAGATAGATAGATAGATAGATAGATAGACAGACAATTATACAAATGAATTTTTGTTTGTTTGTTTTTTTGTTTTTTTTTTTGTTTTTCGAGACAGGGTTTCTCTGTGTAGCTTTGCGCCTTTCCTGGAGCTCACTTGGTAGCCCAAGCTGGCCTCGAACTCACAGAGATCCACCTGGCTCTGCCTCCCGAGTGCTGCGATTAAAGGCGTGCACCACCAACGCCCGGCTATACAGATGAATGTTTATAGATTAGGAATTTACATGTATATAAAACATGGCAAATGGTTTATTGTAAGGATCATGTTTTAATCTATATATTGCATACTAACCAAAAGACCACAGTGCCACCATCCTCCTCTCTTCCTCCCTCCTCCACTTCCCTTTCTCATATCTAGCCTGTATTCTCTGTCCTGCTCAGCACCATGCCTTTCCATAGGCTTGGTGTACTTTGAAAGGAAAGGGAGCTGAGTGAGTTACACTGTCACATACATTTTCATGAAGAAATCAGTAATAAAAACGAAAATTCAACTCACAAAAAAAAACCCACTAAAATTTTGTTCCAAGGTCCAGATATCATGATAACACATCTTCTGACATGTTAGTCTAGCTGTAACATGTAAGATTTCTCAATCTCCAAGTCTTTGGAATTATTGGTTTTTAGAGTCACTACTTATGAGCAGTGCTGGCTACCACTGTAACTGTAAAAACTATTCTTTGGTGGACTAGACATCCTACCATCCTACGTGCGAATGCTAGCTCTGACCACATGTGAGTCTGTTCACACGCCAGTCTGTTCTTGGGGCCATCAGAGTGCTGTAGACAGCTAGCTGTGTCTTCAGGCTGTCACTGCATGTACTTCCCTAGGAATAGTAGCACAACAACAGCCAGAGGACCAGGAAGAGTATCCATATTCATATGCATTTGATTGACACTGGCTTGCATTCTCTTTGTATAAGCCTGCTGAGAATCTTTGTCCTACTGGCCATTATGATTTGCAAATATTCTAAGGTTTTACAATATATTTGGCAAAACTACAGAGTTGGAAGACACAACTTAAAAATAAAATTCCTAGACCATTAGTCTGTGGACTGTGGTTTGAGAAATTACACTCGAGCGCCAGTGTGTTACCCCGCAGAATTTACTCAAGCCTTTCAGATTTGAAAGGCCTTTTCACTAATCCTATATCCTCCAGAGAAAAGATAAATGGTTGATTTGTTATTTATTCCCCCAAATGAGGACTCTCTGGACTTGAAAAGAAACATTCTAGCATTTTTCTCCTTCCCAGCACTTAAGGCCACCTCCCTTCAAAACTCCCTCCTCAGCTATAAGTATAAAAGACAAAATTTAATAAAAGCTCATAACGGGCCAATAAGCACAAAGAAAACCATCTCTCATGTAATCTTCTAGTCAGTGCTGACACAACTGTAATTATTCTCCTCATTTATAGATAGAGGATCTAACTCTTGCTGAGTTAAGACATGTGGTCAAGACTGAGTGGACAGCTGTTGGAACCTAAGACTGTAGTATGAAAGTCAGCATCTCTCAATTCCCAATGCTTCCCAGCAGACAGTCCCAAGCCCCTCTAGTGCCTGTGACCACAAAAAAAGTCTTCACAGGACCTTTCCATGTCTCCTAACTCCGTGTCTCTGAACCTAATTATTTCTCTCACCTCTGTGTTGGAAGTGCATGTTAGATATTTCTTCAGTATTTTTTGATTTAAGACCAAAAAAATATAGTCAGAAGGATGAATACATCTGCAGAGGGACAGAGTGGGCAGACTGGAGGTCCCTTCCCAAACAAAGGCTGTGTACATCTTGTGCCTGTGTGAGCTGCTCCACACTTGAGAGATCCTAGAGGAACACAAAAGACTTAAGAAAGGGGAAGAGCCATCCAGCCAAAGGATAAAAGCCTTCTTGTGTCCTCTCCTTCCAACTTGGGCCCCACTGAATGCCATTTGTTTAAATAATGATCAGAACATAATAGATACGATGAGGTTGCCTAGAGCCCAGTCATTCAATTCTGCTCCGCTAAGGATGGAGAAAAGAAAGACAGAGAAAGAAAGAAAAAATCTGCCTTGATGTGTCTGGGGCATGGCTCACTGGGCTCAGATTTCTATACACTGGTGTTTGAACTGGAATCCCCAGATCTCTCAGTTCTAGGGAATAAAGAAGTTGGCAAACAGACAGGACCTCCCTCCTTCTCAGATAAATGAGGAAATGAATAAAGTGGAACAGAGGGGACTCCTAAGTACTCAGCAATTATCAAAACTGCCCAAATGACACTCCTTTTCTGTTACTCTGCAGGGTAGGCAGTGGGAGGGTATTTTGGAACAGCATAGCTAGATGAGGACTGGGACTGCGATCTTTGGCATGATTAGACTGAGGTCTAACTCTTCCTTGCTCAGATTGTCTGACTGTGATACAGTTAATACTACTTCTCTGGGCCTTAGTGTCTTTAGCTGCCTCAGTGGAGAGAATAACCATAGGCTTTATAAAGACTGAATTATTTACTGCCCAAGTTGAGAACTCTTCTCCTTTTTGCTTTAGCCATATGTCCATAAAAAAAACAAAAAACAAGGATGGGGGATGTAGCTGAGAGGCACAGTACTATCCTGGCATGTACAAGACCCTGAGTCTGATCCCTGACCCCCACAGAAAAGCAAACAAACAAAACCAAAACCATGCTATAGTTAAATCCTGTATAGTCCTTGCTGTCTATCATATATTAAATCTACTGCTGTCACTGGAGCACCATGAAGCCTGGCATGCTAATCTACACAGGCAGAAACATATGGTCTTAACCCCCAGAAGAGGGAATAAAATTGGAAGAATTTCAAAAGTACCCATTAAGGAAGATTCCCTATCAACCCTTCCCACATCGTTATCAAATAAAACCAGAAACTGGAGAAAATAGTGATTGTCGGTAGTAAGGAAACCACCATCTCTCCCACTCCATTGTGGTAGGATTCCCCTCCTCTCACTAGGGAACTGAAGACTGCCAGGCTCCTTGGGAACAAATGGGGATTGCATTATTCCTACCTCCTAAAATTTTCAAAGAAAGGACAGTATTTATTCTCTAAAGATCAGTACACGCCAGCCTCAGAAATTTGATCTTGGTCTGATTTGGCTAATCAATTAAACTATTTTATTTATTTATTTTCTTGTCCTTGCCTAGCTAAAACTATTCCCAGGCTGAGCGCCCACGGTTGTTGATCTTCAAATAAATGTAATTGAGGAATTTGGGTCTCAAAGTGAGGCCCTCAAAATGTAATCACTGGAGTACAGACTCAAGAGGTCCTTCAAGTCAGTTCTTTCATTTTCATACAAAGAACTTTCTGAGACATAGGAAGGCATCAGGCAGACTCAGTGCCGAATCTCCCCAGTGCAGAACTAGACAAACTTTCTTTGTCTCAGAAGGCTCCCCATGCAGGGGGGCGAGGCTCTTCCCACAAGACTGGCATGACTCCTGATGCTCTTTCCTCTGTAAAAAGCCAAGCACAGTGGTTAATGGTCTGTTCTTCCTGTGTTGAAAATAAAAGTGTTTTCAGCACAAAAATGAAATAGCTAGAAATTTGAAAAGAGAAAGTCATAGGGCTTATTTTAGATTGTCCTGCTTTTGGGAAAAGATAGAGGAAGGAAGGAAGGAAGGAAGGAAGGAAGGAAGGAAGGAAGGAAGAAATTAATAATCATTGTGTCAAGAAAACACAAAGTCCTGATTCCTGGAAGGGGGCCTCTGTGTTGCAGAGAGATACACATAAACACACAAGACTTGGAGAGGCCAAGAACATTGTTGGACAGGAGCTGTGGGTACCTAGGAGGAAAATGGAGCTGAGGCAGCACTATGGGGAGGCCATGCAACTGACAGTTGTTACAGGGAACATTTCTCATGTGTAAACAGAAAAGAAGGAAGAAACAGAAGAGAACTAAGAAAAGCGACTCTCCTGTCACAGAATTGCCAGGGAACAAATAAGCCTTCAAGCTGTCCTACCATACACAGGGGATCCTGTCAATTTGGGTTACAGTTCTTGTTTTATTATATGCTCTGAAAGGGCAAAATGGATCCATTTATCATTCCAAATTCAGTGCCTGTGGGCTTCTGCAGCACAAGAGGCCATTTCACAGACATTCCTGTATTGATGGCAGACTTTATTCTTCTGCCGGCATGAAAGGAAGAGACAGAGGAGATGAGGTAAGAGGATTCTTCTATCATGACTGTATTTCAATTCAGCCATACTTCTTTAATAGATGTATATTTGGTGCTAAATGTTCACAGATTTTTTTTTTGTGACCATTGCCTGATATATAAGAGAACTAATATTCAGAAATTCAACCTAAACCCACAGACCAAAATTTCAGCTCCTGAGTTGGAGTTCTTTTCATGCACCTGTCACCTGTGGATTCCACCAAGTGTGGGCCGTGAGCCAGCAACATCTGCAGCCCTGGTGAGTGTGGAAGACCAAGGATTTCAAGTCTTGACCCAGACCTCCTGCAGTGCAACATGAATATTAACAACATCCTCCCCCACATCAGGTAAATCACACACACATTCTACTTTACTCAACTGGCATCCCCCACCACTGATTCTACCATCTGGAAGGTTTTCCTCTCCAGCTATCAACTTCCTTTGCCTAAAAAAGCAGTTAAGAAGAGTTTTGTAGGAAATCTGAGAAGTCCATGTTTTTAAACACTTTAAAGATAAAAGGCAAACTGCAGAGCGGGATTTGTAGACACTTAGAGAAGATTTTATATGAAACAGTCCTAAGTATCCACCACAAAATAAAGGCTACCCAGACTTAGCTGGAAGTGGCCTCTTTGGTGACAGAATTTCCTGAAGAAATAATTTATTTTTAAGTTCATTAAAAAAATAATCTGGCCAGTGAGAAGTGAGGAAAGTGTTGTTGAGGAAAGCTGTAGGTTGGCATGAAGGAGCCCAACAGAATATCACCACTGAGACTTTCTTCCATGCTAATGGGAAGCATGGGGCACATGGGTATTTTGACATTGTCAGCCTCCAACAACCACTCCTTTCTTTTCAGGAAGGGCCTCTGGGACAGTCTTCTGCAAGCCTCTAAGAGGCTGCATCTCTCTGCCACAGGGTGAATAACGTTGACCATAACTCACCACAGTGAAGTTCTGAGAGATTTGGGGCACTTTAACAAAACAAAAAACAAACAAACAAACAAACAAAAAAAACCACTGTAGACAAGAAGGGATGTTTTATAATCAGAGGCAAAATCTCCAGATAAACACGAAAAAACTAAACTAGACTAAACTATAAACATATAAACTAAATTTATATGTGTTTACATATAAATTTGAGCCACGACACCAAAGACTCTTTAGGGACAATGACATCCTATATTTGGGGACTGAGTGAGGTAGGGGAATCATAGCCATAAGATGAGCAAGGTTTAGACTGCTGAAGGAAAGCACACAGCTCTCACTGGCTGTATGACCTTAGGAAACTCATGTGACAGCTCTTCTTCTATATCTTATAGGGTTGTTTCATCACAATCCTCATTTTTAAAGAAGGTGTTGAAAAGTCAAGGGCACATATATAAGAGTTGCCTGTCATGTTGGTTATTCCACATACACAGTTTGAGATGTTCTATGTCCTTCTCTGATCTAGTCTATACCTTCTGATTTTGATGCATTGGGATCATCCAGGCTCCCTTGCCATTGGCGGCTGTAAGGTTTGGCTAATGGCAGATTAGATTCTAGGAGGGAACCCAGGTGAAGGTTGTACAAAGTGAGGACATGACTGATCCTTGGTGTCAGATCCAAAAGAAACTTGGGACAAATGGCTAAGGTGATGCCTATTAGCACACCAAAGCACATGAGGCCTCCAGACTCTCAGCATCAAGCAAGTACCCATTGCAGAGTCCCAGCTGGCATTCTGGCTCTTCTCAGCTCTCCTCCATCCTGTCCTCTACCCTACACTACTCCAGCTCATGGCTTCACTTCCCCAGCTTCTTATTTCTATGTAACCCTGCCCTCTCTTGGCTTTCTTGGCTCTTGGTGTTCTCTCTCTCTCTCTCTCTCTCTCTCTCTCTCTCTCTCTCTCTCTCTCTCTCTTTTCTCCTCTCTTATCTCTTCCTCTTTTGCTCTCCCTCTCTCTGCTTCAGAACCTGAAGAGAAGGTGATAGACTAAACATGGCCAGTAGACTGAACCAGGCCATGAGAAGAGAGAGATAGGAGGAGAGAGAGATGGGGAGAGTGAGAGAGAAAGAGAGGAAACCGAGAGAGAGAAGATGATGAAAAGGGAGCCAAAAGATAGGGGACCAAAGAGAATACGTGGACAAAATGGCAGAGTCACACAGAAATGAGAAGCTGGGGGAAGGGAAGCCCATGAGCTAGAGAAGTTTAGAGTAGACTAGGTGAGAGGAGCCAGGGAGGAAACAGAATCACTGAGTGAGCCTTGAGGCCATCATGTGCTTTGGTATGCTAATAGGCATCACCATTTCCCGTTTGTCCTGAGTTTCTTTTGGACCTGATACAAGCTATTAGGATTTATTTCCTCACTTCCCCTTCTCTCTAATAGGGAGCCTAGGGCTACCATTGTACCATACAATGATGGAAGCAAAACAGTGTTACTGAGATATTAGGGTGTTTGTGTTCATTGTTATTAGGTCTCCATATTGATCTTGTTGATAAATACTGAACCAGTGATTCTCAACTTGTGGGTTGTGACCCCTTTGGGGGTTGTGTTAGGATCCTGCTCTCACTCTTCCGGTTCTAATGTCTTACGTCATCAGTGGGTGTGGGCGACTGTGCTGCATGGTCATGCAATCTCTGCCTTAAAAGGTCAGACGGACGCAGACCCCCACCCCTCTCTTTCTGTTTCCTCTCTGCTGTCTGCTCTGCCCCACTTTCCTCCCCTGCCAGGCCTGGCTTCTCCCTCCTCCCCTGCCAGGCCTGGCTTCTCCTCCCTAACCCCTTCTTCTTTCTAATAAAGCTCTTTCTAACTCTGTAGTGGCCATGACTCTTCCGCCGACCAACCAGTGCCGTTCATCCTTTCAGGTTGAAAGACCCTTTCACAGGGGTCCCATATCAGATATCCTGCATATCATATATTTACATTATCCATAACAGTAGCAAAATTGCAGCTATGAAGTAGCAACAAAAATCATTTTATGGTTGGGGGTCACCACAACATGAGGGATTGTATTAAAGTGTAGCACAAATTGTTAGAAGGTCTTATCAATAAAAACAAACCTGGGGCCAGTTATTGGGGTGAATGCTGAAAGATCAGAGAAGCAGAACAAGCCACAGCCACCTCCCCTTGCCTTGCTGATCCTGTTTCCTCAGACTGGAAGCCTCTGAATCCTCATCAAGAATGGATCTCAGGCAAACTGTGCTGCTAGAAGCCTAAAAGCTTAACCAGGATCTAGTTCCTCATCCTCATGCCTTAAATACCTTACTGCTTCCAGTCATCACTTCCTGGGATTAAAGGCTCTTGTTACCACACCTAGCTGTGTGGCTTTCCAGTATGGCTTTGAACTCACAGAGATCCAGATGGATTTCTGCCTCTAGAATGCTAGGATTAAAGGCCTGCATGTCACCGTTTTCTGGCCTCTATATCTAGAGGCTGTTCTGTTCTCTGACCCCAGATAAGTTTATTAGAGTGCACAATATTTTGGGGTACACAATATCACCACATTAAAGGATCACAGCATTAGGAAGGTTGAGAACCACTCTGAAAGAATAAACTTTAGAACTTAAGGAATGGGAGTGATTTCGGGTGTCATTTAACTTTAGAGTTCCCAGACTGATGGTGACCATCACCTGGTAACCAGGAACCATCACATGTATGTGCTTGCATGTGGCACACTCTAAAGATGAAATACACCATGAGTCAACACACAAGAACCACTTGGAATCCTCAAGAGATACAAAGACTTGTAAAAGCATAAGGGAATTCACAGGCCTTTGTAAATTTGGCCACTTCCTCCTCCTGAGGCTGATGATCAAGGTCCAGCTATCAAAGTATTGAAGTCCAGCAATCAAAATCCTCCTATTGGATACCCTAATTAACATGCCCAATCAAAACAAACCAACTCATCCTAACATGGGGTTTCCCTTTGCCTTTCATAAACTGCCATTTGTCTATGGGTCACCTCTGTCTGCTCTTTATCCAAAGGTACACCTTTGTCCCTCTGGGGCAAATATCCCTTACCCTTCTCCCTTGTCCTTTTTCTCTGCTCTATTTTGTCTCCTGTTCCTTGCCCTTTGTTGCTCTAGGCCAAATAAATCTCCTTTGTGCTGAGAAGCTGGTATTGATGTGTCCTGCGCCTCTCACAGAATCCATCAAAAAAAAAATGAAAAAGGGACATCTTCGTTATTGTTGGAAACATAAATCTCCTCCAGAGGCTCATGTTTTGAACATCTGGCTCTGGACCCATTAAGAGAGGAAGCCCAGCTGGCTTAACAGCTCTGCCCTTCCCTGGCTTGGCTTAGTGGGCTTGGCTTCTTCTCTGCTTTGCCATGGGAACAGTGTAACTGCCCAGTCCATGGCTGAGCTGCTTTCAGGACCCTGCCTTTCTGATCATGACAGACTGAAATCTCCCTGAAACCAGGGGCCAAAATTAACTGCTCCCCTGGTAAGATAATTTTTTTGGGGGGACAGGTATTTTGATCATAAAAGCAGAAATAACTAACACACTGTCTTATGGCTCTCATGTTCTCGTGATAAAGGCATTTGTTAGACAAGTTATTACATGTAATTTGTAGCCAACTGTAGGGATGGAAGTTATAGAGCAAGAGTATAGAGTGAGAGAGAGAAAGAGGACATACATGAGAAATCTTCCCTAAGAAAGAGAAGGCTGGTGATGCAGAGATGGGCTTAATGGGTAAGAGTGGAACACTGCTTTTGCAAAGGACCCCAGTTCAATTCCCAGCACTCTCATGGTGGCTCACAAGTATCTCCAACTCTAGTTTCACCTTTTGATCTCCACAGGCACCAGGTACCCATGCAGTAGTACACATACATACATGTAGGTCAAACACTCATACACATAATATGAAAGTTAATAGATATTGTAAAAGCCTGTAGAAAGAAGGTTTAAATGTTAATATTTCTTTTTCAAGTTTAAAATTGTTGTTTGTGTATGTGACATGACATATGTGTGTCAGGGAGTGAGGATCATACATGCCAAGGCGTGTGTATGTGTGTGTGTGTGTGTGTGTGTGTGTGTGTGTGTGTGTGTGTGTGTGTGTAAAGCCAAAGGACAACTTTTAGGAGTCAATTTTCTCCTTAACACCTTTATGAGGGTTCTAGGGATTGAACTCAAGTTGTAGTAACAAATGCTTTACCAGCCGAGAAATCTCTCTGGCTCTGAGATGTTAACATTTCTCAAGGAATCCACTTTGCCATTATTTGCCCCTCACTAAACCATCTGTATTCATTATATTTCTATTTCTATGACACCAGGACAAAAATTTACTTGGGGAGGAAAGGCTTTGTTTTGCTTATTCACACTGCTTATATAGTCCAGCAATGAGGGAAGCCAGGGAAAGAACATGGAGGCAGGAACTGAAGCAGAGGCTTTGGAGGAACACTGCTCACTGGCTTCTTCCCCATGGCCTGCTCTGTTTTCTTCCTTATACAACCTAAGACCATCTGCCTAGGAGTGGCATAGCTCAGGATGGGTTGGGCCCTCCCACATCCATCATTAAGGAAGGAAATGGACCACAGGCTTGCCCACAGGCCAATCTGATAAAGCAGTTATTCAACTACAGTTTCCTCTTTGCAGCTGAGTCCAACTCATGTCAAGTTGACAAACTGAGACAGCTCACCAGCAGACACTCCCTAGGACCTCTCCATCAAGTGTATCTGGGACCTGCTATTCTGCAAAGGGTTCAACGACTCCTCCAGGTCCAACTCCTCCAGGACTTGGGCAAGAAAGAACTTTAAAATCATCCACACATTCCTTTTCACTCTGTGAATAATAAGCTTGTGAGATCATTGTCAGCTGGGACCATTGGGAGCTCTTACTCTGTTAAGCACAGAGTTATCAAAGCCATGAAGTGGAATTGGACTTACTTAGCAGGATCCTTGAAATCCTCTAATGTTCAGGGGAAAGAAAATTTGAACATATTGAATAAAGAAAATCAATATTGGCAAAAAACAAATCTTGACAACCCCCTGGTGAGCCTTAAGTGAACACAATGATCGAAACAGTCAGGGATTGATGAGGGAGTCTCTATTAGTGTAGAACCCCCTGCTGTTTGTGGAGATTGCTGTAAGAAAAAGTGTGTGTAGACAGCCCATGATGGGACATTGATGGTCCTGTTTGATGTTCAGGAGAGATGGTTCTTAGTTAATGTGCTTATGGATAGTGATGTGTTTTCCATTTTTTCATGATATTGGACATCCAAAAAGGGCGTTCCACATGACCAGCAAGCCTTCTTTGTCTGGGGGTACTGCAAGTCAAACTTGGGGACTTTCACATGCTAGGGACGTTCTCTGTCACCAAGCCTCCACCCCAGACCTTCTTTTCAGACAGTCTCACCATGTAGATCAGGTAATCCTGAAATGCATAATCCCCCTGCCTCTTCTTCTCAAACTCTGGGATTATACACATGTGCTACCACACTCGGCTACACACACACACACACACACACACACACACACACACACACACACACACGGTTTAAAAGAGAACTGCTGGATGGCATTAAGGCTTAGCAGTACTTTCCTTCTGAACACTGTTAAGTCTAAGACACAAACCGCTCAGTCTCTGTTATTTCTGAATGCCAGTGCTGTTTCTTATTACTGCTCAACCTACACTACACAACACAACACTGTAACACTCAGTCGACCTTGAGGCAGGATGCTGTTGCCTCGGTTTCCTCATCCTTAAAGTATGGACATTAACACTTGCTCTGATTTCAGGAGACCAAAGTGGAGTAGGCATGTACTGGTTTCCTACAGGGGCTTGCCCACAGCAGAGTGTAAACATTACTGGCCACCGTTATCAGTACTGTATTGTGGCAGTTAAGGAAGAGGTCACATGCACTTATTATAGCGTCTAACACGTAGAAGATAAGAGTTACAGAAGAAATAGACGAGGATGTAGGAAAAAACTAAAGGTGTCCAGGGTTGGAAAGTTTAGAATTCAGACTGGCCACACCTGACCTGGACTCGGGTAGGTGATTCCCACCCTCCTTCCTGTCGTCCACTTGAGTCTCTCCAGTCTTCACTACAGCCCTCTAGCAGATGGCCTGCAGAGGCCTCTCCTCCCTCCCTCCTTCCATTCCCTGGAGACACTGCCAAACCTTTCAGTGGACCCAGCTTATTCCCTCCCCTATCCCTTTGCGTCGACCACCTGTACCTAGAAACACTCCTATCATGGATCTCCATGGCCAGGCCCGGCAGGGACTCCTTAGGTGGATCACACCATTCCCATTCTCACTCTCAGCCTGTAAACAGCCAGCTTACAGGGGTCCCTCCTCCGACCTCATCTCCATTTACTAGAGACTCCAAATCTTGGTTCAGACCCAGGGTCCCCTCAGCCTTTTCATGCCTGTCTCTCCAGACAATTCAATGCCTTACAGCAACCCGCTTGTAGGACCCCCTTCCCACTATCCCCCCAATTCCCTGGGGACACTATCTCTAGATGTGAACAGGACACCCTTAGCTCTGTCCTGAATCCCCTCACAGCCTTTCCCCCAGCCCACCTCTATTCCTCTCTGCCACCCACCACCCACTGATCTCCAGAAGCACACCCTACCAGGCAGCTCACAGTCTAAAATCCAGAGAGGGCAACAGAAACCAATGATCAGATCACCTACCCAACAAAGACAGGACCAGGGATCAACATTCCAATTCCCCTCAATCATCCTAACTCCAAATGCCTAGACATCAGCATAAACACATAATCAAGAACAGCCAGAACAATGTTTCCATCAGAATCCAGTAATCCTAATACATTAAGCCCTGAGAAGTGTAATATAACAGAAGCAGAAGACAAGGACCTCAAAACAATAATTATATCTGTGTTCAAGGACCTTAAAGGGTATGAATAAATCTCTTATTGAAATGTATAAAAACACAACAGTAGAAAGAAATAATGAGAACATTTCAAGACACAAACATAGAAATAAAATCACTAGATAAAATCTAAACTAATATAAAACTGTAAATGAAAATTTTAGGAAGTCAAACAAAAACCTCTGAGATAAGCCTTGCCAACAGAGATCAAGACATGGAAGAGAGAGAGACCCAGGCAATGAAGACTAGGTATAAGAAATGGATACCTCACTGAACAGCGGTGGCACACGCCTTTAATCCCAGCACTCCAGAGGCAGAGCCAGGTGGATCTCTGTGAGTTTGAGGCCAGCCTGGTCTATGGAGTGAGATCCAGGACAGGCACCAAAACTACAGAGAAACCCTGTCTCAAAAAAAGAAAAAAGAAAGAAAGAAAAAGGAAATGGATACCTCAGCTAATGCAAATGTTAAATCTAGAAACATTCCGGAAATTTTGGACACTATGAAAATACCAAAGTTATTATTAACAGGAATAGAGGAAGGAGAAGAAACCCAGGTCAGAGGCACAAAAAAAAATTTTTTTAAATCATATAACAAAATTCCTCTAACCAAAAGAAGATAGTGCCTATCGAAATACAAGAAATTTACAGAACACCAAATAGACTGAATCTGAAAAGAAAAATTCCCCATGACACATAACAATCAAAACAGTAAATGTACAGTACAAAGAAAAAATATTTAAAGCTTTAAGGGAAAAAAAGACCAAGTAACACATAAAGGCAGACCCATTAGAATAACACATGACTTCTCAATGGAGACTCTAAAAGCTAGAGGGGCCTGGACTGATGTTCTACAAATTTTAAGAGACCAACAAATGCCAGCCCAGACTGTTATTCCTGGCAAAACTATCAATCACAATACACAGTAAAGGGCAAGTTTTCTATGATAAGAATAAATTTAAGCAGTATGTATATATAGCAACCCATCTCTACAGAAGGTACTAGAAAGAAAACTTCAATTTGAAGAAGTTGACTACATCCAAGAAAACACAAAGAATAAATAATCCAGGTCCAGCAAATCAATGGGGGAAATCCACACCATAACACCAAAATAACAGGAATCAATAAACACCACTCATTGATAAATTTCTATATTAATGGCTTTAATCTTGCAAAAAAAAAAAAAGACACAGACTAACAGATTGGATTAGAAAACAGGATCCGTCTTTCTGCTCCACCCAAGAAACACACTTTATTAGCAAGGATAGATATCACCTCAGGGCAAAAGGATAGAAAATATTCCAGGAAAAATGGACAAAGCAAGCAGGTGTTGCCATTTTCAAACCTGATAAAATAGACTTCAAACCCAAACTTATCAAAGAGATAAGAAACTATATACTCATGAAGGAAAAATCCACCAAGAGGCTATCACAATTCTAAACATTTATGCACCAAACACAAGGGCACCCAAGTTCATAAAAGAAACACTACTACACGAAATTCAGTTATAGTCCCTCACACAATGATAGTGAGTGATATCAATACCTCACTTTGGTAAATAGGTTATCCAGAAAAAAATAAACTATGCAGAGAATTGTTGGCATTAAATGACATACAAATAAAATGTATCAAGAGGATATTTACACAATATTTCACCCAAACACAATTTACCATCTTCTGAGAAGCTCATAGAATCTTCTTGAAAATTAACTCAACAGATACAAGAAAATTGAAACAGCAATGTGCATCCATCCTTTCTGACCACCATCGTATGGACAAATATAATCTGCAGGCTACAGAATGGGAAAATATTTTTACCAGTTACACATCTGATAGAGGGCTAATATGTGAACTATATAAATAACCAAAAATTGGACATCAAGAAAACAACTTGATTTAAAATGTGATACAGAAAAAACAGAGTTCTCAAAACATAAAATATGGATGGCTGAGAAACACTTACAGAAATGTTCAACATCTTTAGTCATCAAGCAAATACAAATCAAAACTACTCTGAGATTTCATTTTACACTAGAAAGAATGGCCAAGATCAATAAAACAAATGACAATCATGTTGGCAAGGGTGTGGGATAAGAGGAACACTCATCGAGTGCTAGGGAGAGGTGAATTTGTACAGTCACTATAGAAATCAGTGTGGTGGTTTCCTCAGGAAGCTGGGAGTAAACCTACCACATGACCCAGCTGTATCACTCTTGGGCATATACTCAAAAAGCTACACAAAATGAACACAAAAGTATTTTAGGAGTTTTTTTTTTTGTTTTGTTTTGTTTGGGGTTTTTGTTTGTTTGTTTTTGTTTGTTTGTTTGTTTGTTTGATTCTTTTGTTTTGTTTTTTACCTTATTGGTCCTTTGCTTATATATTATAGTTTCTGATTTTGTGGGGTTCTTTTTATGGTGTGTGTGTGTGTGTGTGTGTGTGTGTGTGTGTGTGTGTGTGTGCGTGTGTGTGTGTTTCTTGTGCTCTTTCTTAGTTTCTTTGTCTGTTAGTTTGTTCATTTTCTTTTATCCTTCTTTGTTTCTTTTTGATTTGCCTATTTTCTTAAGAGAGAGAGAAAGAAGGCACAGAATTGGAAGGGTGGGAATTCGGGGAGAATCTTGGGGGAGATGAGGGAGGGGAAACTGTGATAATAATATATTGCATAAAAAATAACTATATTTACAATAAAAAGAATTAACCATCAAAAAGAAAAGAAAAGGGGATTTAGAATTCTGAGAGATGAAAGGTTTCTGTTTGTTTTCTACTAATCCTGTCAAAAATCTAGTTAGAAACCAAAAAAAAAGAAAGAAAGAAAGAAAGAAGAGAGAAAAAAATCACAACATTGAAAAAAAATGAAGAATTCACTGGCATTACTCTAAACAATAATAGAAGGAATGTGTTTGTAATTATAGTAAATACCTTGACCCCACCCCACCCCCAGCCTCGGAACATGAGCTTACTGAAGGAGAGTGGAAAGTCCCAGCATAAATAAGAACCCGAATCTTCTCTAGGATGGATGCTCGGGGCCATGTCTACTGGACTCCAGGAGAGAATAGTTTCCATCAGACAAAGAAAAAAGTCTTTTTTCAGCCCCCTTTTTATAGGCAAAATTCCCTG